TCTGCGCGTTGCTGTCCAGGATCAGAAGCCTTTCTCTTGGAGATTGGACAACCTATGGACAGCCCCTTGAGGGTGCCACGTGTTCCAAGCGTGATGCGAGCTTTGTCACTGTGTCCTGTGACAAAGCATGCCCCGTGACAGAGCAGCTGTCTTGCACGTTAAAAACTGCCGGACGGGCGGCTCATTTGTCTTGTGTGACAAGTTTGGATCCATGATGAAGCTGTTTGTTCGAGCTTGCAGTTCTGTGCCTTTGTGCTCTGCCTTTGACGGAGCCTTCCAAGCTTTCGTGACGAGGGCTTGTTTCCCGTTGACTGTTGCGAGCAGACAGATCTACCTTGCAACCCGTTGGCTGCTGACACCCTGCAGAATTGTACATTTTGCATGTAAAGACGCGTTCGCGACTTGTTGCGTTANNTTTATATGTCTCTCCTTTTTCCCTTTTATCGAAAGCCGCTTTGAACGGGCGGTTGAAAGGGGATGGTGGTGGGAAAAGGGGTTTGACTTGCACGCACGCGTTCGCGACTTGTTGCGTTAGTGTGTGTGCTCTTCAAACCCCTCGTGGTGCGCACACTGCGTGTGTGCGTCTTCTCGTCGCGAAGAAAAGATTGATATTTCTTTTCTTATTGATTTTCCCGGATTTTGGGACGGAATTATTTATCGCATTTGGTTTTGCACTTTTCCATTTGCTGCTATGCAGGCATGACAACATATATGTACCGTATGTAGCCACAGGGTCAAGTGGTGAGATTTCGAAGCTCATAGGAGTTTCGTAGTCCGCGACCTTGGTCGCGCTCGGTGTAGAGGTGGGACCTCATGGCCCCAGCTGCAGAGGATGGACCCTGAGGCTAAGCAACGCTGCAAGGACAAGCTTCGGCAGGTTGGCCTTTGGGGAGAGAATCTTGCTACTCTGGAGCTTAGTGCAGCAGAAGGGGTGGCACAGCAGCTGGTTGGTGAGTTGGGTGACGATGTGGTCTTCTGGGTCAGCCAATGTATCGAGGAGGCAAAGGTTCAGGCTCCTTTGCTTTCCAGGGCGCAGGGTTTGCATGGGCCAAGCTTGAGCTGGATGGGATTGCGTCACAAGACAGACGAGCACGGGTCGAAGGACCCGGAGGCATCGGCCTCCAGTCTGGCTCTTCCGGCAAAGGGCGAGCGCAAGCGCAAGCGCAGGCCGGAGACCGGGGCTGAGGGAGCAGAACGTGAGGCATTGGAACGGCAGGAGCGCGAGGCCCTCTGCCTGCGTTTCAAGGTTATCTTGGAGCGCTTCAAGGCCCCTTGTTTGGCTGAATTCTCAGGTGACTTCGATCAGGGGAGGATTGCGATGGTTGTTTCGGGGAGGATCCGCAACAGCAGCCTGAAGCGGTACCTTCGTTTTCTGGAGGATGCATAGGGCAAAGCTTTGGGATCCCCCTTTTTCTTCGGGGGATGCCATTGACTATCTCTTCATGATTGCTGACAAGCCTTGCGGGCCGACGGTCCCGGGGGCCTTTGTCAAGTCGCTGGCTTGGTTCGAGCGCGTCTCAGGATTTTCAAGCGAGAGTCGGATTTCTTCGAAGTCAGTTCTCCTTTCTGCTCGGGATGTTCTAGTAAAGGAGCTGAAGAAACCCGGGGTGCCCGTGCATCGTGCCCCGCGCCTCCCAGGTGCGGTCATCGCCGCCCTGGAGAGACTCGTGTCGAACAGGCAGGAGGCAATGGGCATCCGCGCAGGGGCGTTCTACCGGCTGTTGAAGTGCTGGGGTACTTTGAGGTATGACGACGTTCAGCATCTGTCACCGCAAGCGGTCAGGTTTTTCTCAGGCAGATTCACGGCCGTCCTTTACGAGACAAAGACTAGCGGCCCGGAGCGTCGTCAGGTCGAGCTCCCTATTGCAATCACTGAGGATTCATGGATCTGCAACAGGGATTGGTTGAGGGATGGATGGCAGCTTTTCCAGGCGCATGCTGATTTTAATCGCGACTATTTCTTACCGGCTTTGAGTGATGACTTCAGCTGCTTTCGGAGACGCATGGCTAGCTATCCAGAGGCCGCTACGCTAACGGCTGCAGTGAACCGGCGACTTACAGACGTCGGAGGCCGAAGGCTGATTCCGCCGGAGTTGGTCGAGATGTGGACCGAGCACAGCGAGCGGGCGACACTGCCCACCATTCTGGATGGGTTCGGCCTGGACCCCAGGGACAGGGATGCCCTGGGAAGATGGAGGCCGGAAGGGAGTGACATTTACAGTAAGAGTTTTTCTGGCAAGGTTCGCAGAATCCATCGGTATTTTACATCGGAGATTGAGAAACTGCGACTGGCGGGAGATGTCGATGATTATGATGTGCTCGAGGCGGCTTTTGCTTGGCTTCGCTCTAGATGGGGACTCGCCGCTGAGGAAGCTGACAGGATCGTGGAATCCTTCCGGACCACGTTAGCTGCCTGGGCCTCAGAGGATCCGATTCAACAGGCGTCGGAGGATGAGGGCGAGACGGTGGAGGAGCACGTAGAGGCTCCTCCCGAAGAGCCGGTGGAGAGAGCAGCCGGCTATGTTCTGGTATCCTCGAGGCGTGGGGCCGTCAGGCTGCACCGATCTGGAAAGGAAGGCTGCTGGATGGCGCGACTGAGGCACTTTAATGAGTGCAAGGTCGTAACGGAGATGCCGGAGCCTGGTGAGTACTCTCACCGCTGCAGGCTCTGTTGGCCTGGTCCCGAAGGGACGGTAGACTCGAGCGACGACTCGAGTGGAGAGTCATCGGACTCAGAGGGACATCAAAGCGATGCTCCTGAGGACACGGGCACAAGTCCCCCTGGGTCCTGGGATCGGATCACCGTCGGGTGAGAGTAAAAGAAGGGGTCGATCCCCTTTTCCGAGCGGGTGCAATGTCTAGGAACGGGAGCTTGTTCTTCCTTGTGAGAGCAGGGCACCATGGCTGAGTCACTCCATGGTCGGGAGTTGGAAGCGCGTTCTTCCTCTGCGAAAGCATGGCAAGCTCTCCGCGATATGGGCGTCGCTCAATCCTGGAAGGCAAACTACGAGTCTGCTGAGCAGAACCTGGATTTTGTCTGCGAGCATTTCGAAACCGAGGTCGGCGAGGGACTGATGATCCGGATGGATGAAGCTGACTTCTGGGCGAAGTACGGGGAGGAGGCCGCGATTTCCGCAATCGCGGTTATAGTAGAGGAAGGGCCTCCCGTAAAGAAGCGGGTGGTGCATGATGCCTCTCACGACGTCCTCCTCAACCACCGCATCCGTTGTCTTGACAAAGTGAGATCGCCAGGGGCAAGGGAGAAGCGCTACCTTTTGAGGCGCCTGAGGGAGGAGCGATTGGCGCCGATGGCCATCGCTGGTGACATCTCGAAAGCTCACCGGCGCTATAAACATCGAGCCGATGAGTGGGGTTACCTGGGTTGCAAGGCCTCCACCCGGGACTCTGCCGTGTACTTGAACTGTGTCGGGACATTCGGCCTGGCATGTGCCGGGTATTGGTGGGCGAGAATTTCTGGTGGAGCGGTCCGACTGGTGCATCATTTGACGGGCAGGCGGGAGTTGGAGATTCTCCTCTTCGCGGACGACGTCGAGATGATTGGGGGTGACAAGCGAGGACGGCGGGGTGGTCGAAGACGAAAGGGGGCCTCAACGTGCAATGGGTCGGCTACGAGACCGCCTATGCCTCTTTCAAGCTGGGCATCTCGGAGCGCAGAGCATCCTGGCTTTCGGAATGGACGGGGAGGATCGCTGCTGGGGGAAAGGTTACCTGGGATGACTTTGCATGTGGTCTTGGGCGTCTTGGGTTCGGAGCGAACGCTCTCTCATGGGAGCGCCCCTTCCTCGGGCCACTTTACGGGTGGTCAGCAGCTACTCGGGGCCGACGGGGCCTTCTGCAGATCCCGGTCATGCTGAGGACCATCCTGCGCTGGCTTTCACAGCGGTTTCGGACGGGCGATCGGCTGCCGGCGCCTCCAACTCTGCCGCTGGCCTCTGGCGAGGGTGGATTGTCCTTCTTCTCGGACGCCAAGGCCGAGTCCGGGAGTGCATGGGTGGGTGGATATCTCTGGGACGGCCACTCTGCGCTGCAATGGTACGCTTTGGAGGTTCTGGAATCTTGGGCCCCTTGGGCCTTCATCAAGAAGGACTTTAAGCGCACCATCGCGAGCCTGGAGTTGCTTGGAACACTGATCTGTGTTAAGCTTTGGGGCGAGAGGATGAGGCGGCATGGAAGGGGCAGGGGACACCTCACGGGTGGCACGGACAATCAGGGAAACTCTTACGCGGTTTCCAAGCTGATGTCGACTCGCTTCCCTCTACCCCTCCTGCTTATGGAGTTATCCGAGACTCTGCGGCGAGGGGATCAGGTCTTGGATTTGAGTTGGGTGCCGCGTGAACGGAACCAATGGGCGGATGATTTGACAAATCAGAAGTTTGATCATTTTGATCAGGGAAGGAGGCTGAGCATCAATGGATCCCAGATTGATTGGATCGTTCTGGGCGACCTCTTGAACTCTGCATCTGCTTTTCACACAGAAATGGTACAGGCCAAGGAGGATAAGCGGAACGGGAAGTCGGAGCTGCTTGCCAGAGGCAAGAAGAGGGCACGCACCAAATGGTGATTTCCCACTCGGCTGCGGCGATGCGTGGGTGATTTACACACTCTCATCTTTCAAATCTGGGCTGGCCGATTTTCGCCAAAGGCGCTACGGCTTCGAGATGTGTACTTCGCCGAATGGGAAATCCGCTCCGATCTCAAATCAAAAGAATCGTTGACCTGAGCGCTTCAGTCATGTACATGTCCACGTTGAGCGTGTGCTGCACTTGCCGTCCAATTTCATACGGAATATATTCTGGATTGGAATTGACATATACTTATTTATATGTCTCTCCTTTTTCCCTTTCATCGAAAGCCGCTTTGAACGGGCGGTTGAAAGGGGATGGTGGTGGGAAAAGGGGTTTGACTTGCACGCACTGCTTAGCGAGATGTTGGACAAACAGTCGCTGCAGTGCGCCCTGGTTCGAACGAAGCTGCTGCAGTCTCCGCGGATCCACAGCCTAAGTTGGCAGATGCCAGTTTAACGCGAGTGTAGCGCCGCAAGAGGGTTTAAGGTTTAGGATTTAGGATTGAGGGTTGTGTATATATCGGCAAGGTGTCGTGCACATGGCGCTTGAGTTGGACGTCTCGTATGCCAAGTGTTTCAAGTCGAAGTCTCCGATAAGAATGTCCGAATTCCCAAAACCTGGACCTGGAAAAAGATTTTTCTCATCGTGGCTCTACACCCCGAAACCCTGAGCCCTGAAGCCCACACCCGCAGCCCCAAACACGACCTGTCAAGCCATGTTTCAAGTTGGTCGCTCGCAAACCTAAGCCGTACCCGCTACACCCCAAAACTTGAACGCAGCTTGCAATGGGCCCGCTTCCTGCCGTTGCCGCCGCGGGGGCAGCCTTTGCTTTGGATGGAAGGTCCGCCGAAAGGGTTAGGGTTAGGGTTCCTTAAGAGTTCTTACAAGGCCCCTTCAGGCGTTCTGGCAAGGGTTCCTGGACGGGATACTTACAAAGGTTCTAGAAGTGACTCTGAGGGTTCTACACGGGGTCTATACGACTAGGGTTTCGGCGTCTGAGTGTGCATGGTTCTTAGTTTAGGGTGAAGGGTTTAGTTTGGGGTTTGGGGTTCTGTGTATGAGAATCGGCTTTCGAACTAACGACAGAAACCTGCAGGAACAAGCGTGCTTGTACTTCCATCCCCACGAACGACAGTCACGAGAATTTCTGCTTCCGCGGCCACCAACTGCCCTCTGGTGAAGGACGCATGTACCTGCGCAACTATGTTGAGACAGCAGCCGTGGATCCGTACATGCATGGAGCACACGTTGAGGTCCTGCGCGGATCTGGTGGTGAAGTGTATCGGCTGCGACGCTTGGGGCCAGCACGAGACCAACTTGAGATCGCTGTGTCGTGCTGGTCAGACCGGCGACGCCCCGAATGGTGCTGCCCTGGAGGTTGCTGGACCGCTCAAAGCCTCCGGGACCATTGCTGCGAGAAGGGTGTGTCGGCTGACGGAGGACTCCTGCAAGGTGTTTTCAACAACCTGACGCCGCACTTGATGCCCCAGGAGTTGGAACGTTTCGACACACTGTCGCTAGATCGATTTCGTCAGTTTTGCCTCCTGCTTGCCCATCCGAAAACCACCCTCAGCCTATCATTCATAAGCTTAAGCCCTTAAACTCCTTCAGCCCTTGTACCCTCAAGCCCCGACGCCATCAAACCACGAAGCCCTCACGCCCTAAAGCCTAACCTGTAAGAAGCCCTTTTTGGATCCCTTGTAGAACCTGATATAGAGCCTTTGTAGATCCCTTAGAACTGGGCCGAACCCGAGGTTGCAGAGCCCAAGCATCGACGAGGCCACTTTCGGCTCCACGCAGCGGCGATTTCGCGTGGGCTGGCATCCGCCTGGGGCCCTATGCTCTTCCCAAGGCTGGGCATAAGGGTTCCCGTAAGGGTTTAGGGTTTAGGGGAACCTGCCAAAGTTTGGGGTCTAGAGGTTTAGGGTTTAGGGGTTTTGGGGTTTAGGGTTTAGGGGGATCTATGAGGGTTCGTGTTTGGGATCCATGAGGCTATAAGGGTTCCTGTAAGGGATCTATAAGGGTTCTTGTAAGGGATCTATGTGGGATCCGTTAAGGGATCTCTGTGGGTTCTTTCAAAGGATGTATCAGGGTTTGTTGATCACCATCATCATTTTCCTTATGTGTCGAAGCTGTAGGTTGAGAACCCATATCCCACCCAGCTAAACGAAGTCAGAGGCGTGGGTCGAAACCGTGGCAACCCTGCACACAGCAGTTTCACACACACACAACGAAGCTGCAAATCCTTGAAGTCCTTTCGACCGTCATAGATGTGCATTGTGCTACCCTAAACCCTAAACCGTGTCATCTGAGGGGGAGCTCAGCTCCCAGCCGTTAAGCCTCATGGCTACGAAGCTAACATTATCAAAGGAGCGAAACTCAACCACTACGTATCGATTCACGAAGCGGGAATTCAACAGGGTTCCATCCAGGTATAGGGTTTGGGTTAGGGGTTTCGGGTTTGGGGTATTGGGGTTTGGGGGATTGGGGTTTAGGGCTTGAGGTTTATGCCTAGAGCCCCCAGAACTCTTGCTTTAGAGGGTTCAGGTACCCAGAATGCTAGAGCATTGGAGCCTGCAACAGCCCTGGCGCCATGAAAGAACCGTCGGTTTTAAGGTTTCGGTTCAAGGGTTCAGGGTTTAAGGCTTAGGACGTTTAGGATTAAGGATTTAAGGTTCTGGGTCCAAGGCTCATAGTGACTTTTGGAAGTTCGTTTCCACTGCATCATAGAAACCCTAGAGGTAACCCAGAAAAGCTTGCACAACGCTCTTGCATAACCCTTCCAGGTGTCTTACAGAGGGCATATTGCATCCGACCCTCAAAGAACCTGCAAATAATCCCTTCAGATCCCTTAATCCTAAACCCGTACACCAAAACACCACAAATCGACTTCGGCCGCTGCAGAACCTCAAAGCCTTCACCCGCTAAGCCCCCGAAACCTACGACTCGCCAAAGAAGTCTCGCGGAACACTTAAAGTAACCCCCCCTTTAGCCTGAAAGGCAACCCTAAATTCTAAACCCGGTTTAGGGTTTAGGGTTTGGGGTTTAACGCCTTACAGGAGCCCTTAAAGGAGCCCTTTCAGGATCCCTCAAAGGCTCCGCGGCGGAGTCCGCGCGGCCCTCGGATGGCTCCTCGGTGCTCGAGCCGCTGGTGGCACTCCTCCTGAGGACCGGGACCGAACCTGCTTGAGGTTGGGGCTTGCTTTAGGGGCTCCTTGAAAGGGATCTATGATGTAGGGTTTAGGGTTCAGGATTCAGGGTTCAGGGTTTTGGGGTTAGCGTTCAGTGTTCCTTTAAGGGCCCCTGCAAGTTACCGGATCTTGTAGACTCCAAAACCATAAAGCCTAAACCGACCGGCTCGGCTGGAAAAGCCTTTGGACCCAGCTGGTTTGGCTTTAGGGTTTCAGGTTCAGGCTTCTTTTTCGGGCTCCTTTAGAAGGGAACTTCAGGGTCTAGGGGCTTTATGGGTTCTCTAGAGGGCTTCAGGTTAAAGACCCTAAAATGAGTAGTTCGCGAAATTGGGGTCCCTTTGTAGGTCACCAAAATAGTACGGCACCGTCATAAAAGGTCTTTAAAAGGGGACCCTAATTTGGACACATCACTAGACCCCAAACGCAAATCCCTAAACCTGAAGCTCTAATCCCTAAACCCTTAAAGCCTTAAAAAAAAAACAACCCCAACGCCGAACCCGTAAAGACTCAAAAAGCCCGAATCTCTGCAAAAGCCCCCTAATTGCCTCAGAGGCTTAAAAAGCTACCCCCAGCAAGCCCCCTCAGGTCAGGGCATCCCATCATTCGCAATTAATAAAGCCGCAAACCACACGCTAAGCCCTAAACCTAAAGCCCACACCCTAAGCCCTAAACCCTAAGCCCCAAACCCTAAGCCCTAAACCCTAAACCCTTAAGCCTACACCCTAAGCCCGAAACCCAAAACCCCTAAACCCTAAACCCCTAGCCTAAAGCCCTAAAGCCCTAAAGCTTTGAGACCCGAAAACCCCTAAAGCCCCTAAACCCTAAGCCCTAAGCAGGTCAGAGCATCCCATCACTCGCACCTTCGTAAACATCGGGGCGGGGACCTGCCAGCCTCCCGATCCCCTCCACGACCTGCTGTCCTCGCCTCTATTGGGCCCAGGCTTCGGGGAGGGGGTTTGGGATTTTTGTTTTGGGGGGCTCCCTAAACCCTACACCCCAAAGTGCTTTAGGGTTCAGAGTTCAGGGGTCGAGGGCGGTAGTCTTCCGACTTCAGGCTGCTTCCGTCTGGGTTTTTGGATCCCTTTCGCTTTCCGTACTCCGATTGACGGTGTTCTTTTAGCTGGTTGTTCGCATAGCGGTAACCATGGTCTTCAAAACTTGACCGTGCCATACACACCCCAGGGCATTGCATGTGCATCCATCGCATCGTGCCAGGTCGTATCACGTCACATCACTTGCCATCCAACAGAATCCAGCATACATGTAGCATCAGATCATGTCATCGCACCACGCCACATCACATCGTATGACACGATGCAACATGACGTCACTGTCACATCACTGACATCAGAGTCACACCAAACCGCATCGCAACGCATCACAAGATCTTCCAGTACCAGTGCTGATCAGCAACATCATGACCATCAACGCTTCGTTACGACTCCTCACCAACACCTTGCTTGATCACAGCCGATGTTGCTGCTGCTATCGTTCTCCGCACTACATGCATTCCTTTCCTTCATTGCGGTCATACTGTTGTTGCCGCTGCTGTTTTGCTTCGGTTGTTTCTGTTCGTTGTGTTTTGAAAATCCATTTATGTTTGCTGATACAGTTGTCGTGGATGTGTCACCATCACAATAAACCCTAAGCCCTAGCACCCTAAAGCACTAAATCCCAAACCCGAACCTCCGAACAGAGGCTTCGTCGGCCTCGCTGTTGAGTCGAGCCGCGATCGGCTGGATCGGTGTATGGAAGTGATGAGTGCCGTCCCGGGAAGGGTCTTGCCGGTGCTCCCTCATAAGGGATCTTGGGCGCGGCAGGGTTTAGAGTTTGGGGTTTGGGGTTTGGAGTTTGGGGTCTAAGGTCTAGGGTTCAGGGTTTGGCGTTTAGGGGATCTTTCAGGAATGTGTAATGTCAGGGTTCTATAGAGGATCTCAGCGAGGATCTCTAAGAAGTTACTTACTATCAGGGTTCCATCAGGGTCCTATTCTGTAAGGGTTGTATGAGGGTTTCTACCAGGGTCCCTTTAGCGTCGTGTTCGTAGGGTGGTTCGAGACGCTCTCTACAGGTTCCAGGTAGTTTGGGTTTAGGCAGAGAGGTCCTTGCATCCTAGGCCACTTCCCTAAGGTGCTGCTGACACTGGATCCTACTGTAGCTGCAGAGCAGATGATGCCCCACTTGACGCTGATCTTTGGCCACTCTCCCAAACCTTGGGCACTTGATGTCCTAGTCGTGGACGTTGATGGTGTGGACTGCCTTATCGTCGAGGAGCTGCTGCAGATTGTGAGGCCGAAGATACTCCAGGTAGAGGTCGTGGCCCACATTCCTCCCCCCTTCCGCTTCTCGCTGCACTGGCATGCGAGCCATTCCCCGGACTGGGACAGATTCTACCACGCCGACAGGTTCACTCCGACAGCCGGTTGCTCCTTGAGCTATGCCTTGCACAAGTTTCGGCCTTTCGGCTACGACTTGCTCCGGCTGACAGAGCACGACGCAGTATTCGTGCATCAGTCGATTGCAAAAGTGATTGAGACAGGCTACCATGTCAAGCTTCCACAGGACGAGTTCCAGTGCTACAGGAACAGCACGCTGTGGTTTCAACGGCCGGCCAGCTACGTAAGGGAGTGGTTCTTTGCAAAGCACCCTTCAGCAGTGATAGGGCGAATCTGGTCCAACATCTCATTCTTGAACGTAGAGATGGGTCGCGAACCCCTTCCCTTCACCCTCGACTTCTAGGCCATCGTGTTTGCACTCGAACACGAGCCGTGATCTATCGCGACTGCTCGGTTCAGCAACGACTTTGACGACCACACCAGCGTTTCGGCATGCCGTGACCATGTACATGTCGGTACTCAACGTTGCTTGAAGCAGTGAGTGACTCGACAAACAATGAGAACACAGGTGTTGGAAGACTTAACTATGCGGGGTACGTGTAGTTAGCTGTGTAGTAGTAGTAGT